TTGTTGTCCTCTTCTCTCTCTCTGCCTACGGTTTTATCGGGCAGTTCTGTTTGTGATGATATATATATATATATATGTATAGATACATATATATATAAAGAGAGATATATTGCGAGTCAGTTCGCAGTTTGCGACATACAGTGTTCGAGGAGTGACAACTGCGAGGTTATTCGCAGTTTTCCCAAGCTTAGACACATATTTCATTTAAGGCAGTTCTTTATTTCCACAAATGCGAGTTAGTTCGCACTTTTTAAGCAACAGTGCTGGAGAGTTGACAACCCAACCCGTGCGGCTTTCAGATCTTCAGTTCCACAATTCCGAGTTAGTTCGTACTTTCCCCTAGTGCTGCGCACCGCCATTATTGTCTTGTCTACAGAACTGCGAGTTAGTTCGCACTTGTCGAATTCCTTCGCAATTGTCGATAAACCAGGACTTCAGTTCCACAATTCGGAGTCAGTTCGTACTTTCCCGTTGTACTTCGGGTTGCAATTGTCGTCCTGTCAGCAGAACTGCGAGTTAGTTCTCACTTGTCGACACCCTTCGCACTTGTCGATAAACCACATCTTACTCGTTTTGTGTGTCTTTCAGGTCTTCAGTTCCACAATTCCGAGTTAGTTCGCACTTTCCCCTAGTGTAGCGGGTTGTTATTGTTGTCTTGTCTACAGAACTGGGAGTTAGTTCGCACTTGTCGACACCCTTCGCACTTGTCGATAAACCACATCTTACTCGTTTNCGGGTTGTTATTGTTGTCTTGTCTACAGAACTGGGAGTTAGTTCGCACTTGTCGACACCCTTCGCACTTGTCGATAAACCACATCTTACTCGTTTCGAGGGCATCTAGTTGGGTCACAATTTTTCCGAACAGTTATCGTCTTCCCTCCGAACTTCTGTCTTTTCTATCCTTCACCTGATTGTTGTGACTTCGTGTGCATTTCGAAAACACCCATCTCTTACGTCCTTTTCATCCTCCATTTCGTTAAGTCCGAGTTAGTTCACACTTCGCTTCTGTAGTGGTCTGGGGTTGGGCGTATTAGTCATCTGAGTTGGTCTGAGGTTGGGCGTGCTAGTCAATGGGTGGGAATACAATGGCGTCCGCAAAGAACACATCCAGAAGCGCTGGACCATCTGCCCTCGGGGAGGGACGACCAGTACAGCAACCTACTCCTTAGTATATGCACACAAAGGGAGCACCATAGTTTTTGGATTTCGTTGTTCAGGGGGACCTTTTTGGGCCAGCTGTTTTCATGTGACCCACTTGCGTTACAGACGTTGGGGGAGCGGTCAACGTTGTTCCTCTCGGTACCGTCGTCTCGTGCGCGAAGACTCCTGGAGGTTTGCTCAAGCTGCACACTAACGGCGTGTACGACGAGTGCAGACTTCCTATTAGAGGTGTTAAAGGTGTGCTGGTGACCATCAAGAGTTTCGCGGGGTACGGCTCGAACATGCCGTTGTGCTCTCACTTCAAAGGCCTTTACGATGGCGGCAGCAAGCGTCTTCCATCGCCAGAGCAATATCTCGATCTCGCGCTGATGGTGCCGAAAGAACGTCCGGTTCTTCCGCCAGAGCATGTTTTCCGGTTTCTGCCAACCCGTGAGGGGTCATCCGGCGTGGCTCAAGAAACTCCAGGTACGGCAGTGGGGCGCGGGAGTCCGATTCAAGATGCTAGGGGTCGGGTCAAGGGACGCAGCGTTCACACGCAGGTCGGCCCGGATGCTCCTAGGAACACGTCGGATTTGCATTCTATGGGTACAGGGACTCAACGGGTCGGTACTCCAAAACTTATCAAGGTCCGCTGCGGCGCCGACACGTATTCGCTTCGAGATGAGACGAGAAGAGATTCAAGCAGATCGGGCCTAGATCTTGGATGGAATGAGGCTGAAGGGATGGGTGCTGTCCGCGAAAGATCTGGAGGGGAGCAGACTCCTTCGGAGAAGAAGAGCGAGCGACAAAGGATGGTGCGATAGGAGGTGGCGGAAGGAACCCTCCGCATGAAAAGGATGAGAGGAAAACTGGAGGCGTTGATGGGCGGGGATGGAGGTGGCGACGGAGAACGTGCCTCGGGAAAGAAGCCGGAGAAGGAAGAGGGTGGGACGACAAGTAAGAAAGCGAGGAGGCCCGGCGGTTTGACCATTCGCATAGGACAAGCCACGGGTGGAGGAGATTTGGTTGATCCAGGCACTGCGGCCGCGAGAGAACCTTCGGGGAAATCGAAACGGAAAGTGGCATTTGAAGAAGGCGATGGCCAAAAGAAACCTCGAAGGCGGAAGACTGCTGAGGCCACGAGCGGTGGCGAAGGGCATGTAGGTCAGGAGTGCGACGAAGCGGCAACGTTCTGGCTCGAATACGAGCGGAACGATGTCGGTGAAATCGTGGAGAAGGAGCTCCCCGTTCAACAGCTTATCGACCCCCGGAAGGTCTGCGACATCCCGCCTTGGGAAAGATATTACAAGCACCGCAGTCTAAGTCGCGAAACAATGGACGACATCAAGGATGCGATGCTGAGTCAATTCCACGAAAAGAAGATCTGGACGAAAAACCCTCTCGTTTTGGCACCCATCTACAAGCCGGTGACGCGTAGGCCGGAGCAAGCTGACAGGGTTCACAAAGATGTCTTTAAGCAAGAGGACAAGGACAAGTACTACTATTACCCTGTTAACGGACAACACACCGTGGCTGCTATGAAGGAGTTGGAGGGTGAGCAGATATTCGGTTTGTGGAAGATGCACTCGTGGCCAGCGAGAGTAGTGTGGTTCTCCGACCAAGATTTCGCGGGGTATAGGCAGGTCAGTCTCAACGAAAACACGAGACACAAGATGTCTAAGCAGCGATCGTAGAAGACCGCGTTCTTGGACATGAGGGAGGCATGGGAGAACGAAGGAAGGCCGATGGCCATTCAAGGGAACCCTTCCGGCAAGGAGGCCAAAAAACAAAAGTTTTTCGATTTCCAAAAGCTGATTTTGGGAAAGAGTCTGAATGAATCTCGCTGGGCGTTGTCAAAAAAAGACTTGCCGCTCGCCGACAGGGAGTATGTCGCTGCCGTTGGCAATGCATTGAGGCAGTGGATGCCGGTCGCGACAGCCGGTGATGATGTTTTTCGCAAAGCCATGGAGTTCTACGCGAAATGGGCGGAGGGGAAGTTGTTGGGCGGCGACGGCAAGACGCCATTGTCGAGGCCGGGCAAATACATGCCAGACAAATCTCCGGGTCTACAAGCAATTCCGGAAATGGGCTTGAAAGGGGCGGCTTGTGAAACGAAGATGGGGTGGCTGGTCCGGGTCCCCCCGCCTCCGACCAAAAAGAAAATGCAAGCGGGCGATAAATTTTTCGTGGTCGTGAAGGAGCCAGACATGTTCTGTTGGCAGTCTCTTGCCGACATGACCGATGTCGAGAAACCGTCGATTCTCGACGACATTCTCGCACTACGGGGAGTGTTCGTGCAATCCGCGGGCGGCCATCTGAAGCGTCAGCATAAACCTAGAATTAAAGACATGGCCGCGACGAGGAAAGTGGACCGTGTGATGCTCCGTATGTTCCACTACATCTTGTTCCTTGAAACGGAGGAGGACGAACGTGTTTGGCGCCACTGGAGCCCATTTTTTTCGGACCGAGGGGAAGCTTCTAGAGGAGTTCGGGCCACAGGGCCTCACGAAACAGGTGTGGGTCGAAATGCGAAAGCATTTCGAGGGCGCGGTGGAGTACGTGAACACTTGCAAACGTAGTCTTCCGCACGAGAAGGAGTCCATCGACAACGCGAAGAGATTGTATGATGATGACAGGTTCCCTAAATCTTTCGAAAAGTCTGTCCGTTCCATCTTGCAACGGACGGAAGAAGAAGTCCGAGACATGATCAGGGTCAGCGGGGATGTGAGGCACATCAAATGGCCCCATCTCAACCGGGTGACCAGCCTTATTTCTTTCGCTTTTCCGCCTTCCCAAGCTCATAGTCATGTCACTGCGATCCGTGAGGTTGTGCGACATTACGTGTGCAACCTGTACGTCCTCGATTTGTGTGATCCCACGCTCCTCACAGACTGGCGAGAAGATGATTTCGCCAACTTGCAAGGCCTTCTACAAACACTTTCGCCAACGCACTGGACACTTGTGATTTTTTTCCCCTCTCGTTGGGATCCCAGTTTCTTGAAAGGCATGGCCAGGCTTAGCATCCATTACGTCAGGACAGGGAAGTGGGTATGTAATGCACAAAAGCAGGCCACTGTCCAGGAAGGCAATATGCTGGTTGAGGAGTGTGACCGGCTGTACGTGATTTTTAATGGCGAGAAGCTGGAAGACAACACATTCGCAGTCTACCCGCCCAGTAGCCCAACAAAGGCTTCCCGTCCTCATGGTCCAAGTCCGGCCAAACACACGGTGGCGGGCCCATCAGGACAGGTTGTGGCGTGTTTCGACGTGGCGGAAGAGGAAAGGTTCTCTCGTAGCATGTGGGAGGACGGCGGCGTGACAAGTTCTCAAGGACCTGCTTACGGGGAGATGGAGCGGAACCCTCGAAAACTTTTGCAAAGTTGGTCAAACTGTTTTTTTTATTTGGGAAGGCGCATGCGTCTGTCGTGTGGGAACTCCTGCGTACCGGTCGAAACGTCGTCGCGTTGGAGAAGGAGGCAAAGATGATTGATTACCTTCACGAGCTCGTGAAGGCACGCGTTGTAGACACTCGGACGTTTGGGACTTCCTTTTCGGACCCGTACCGCCTGGTCCGACCGACCTCGAATACAGTCGACAGAGAAACCTGGTGTTCGCTGTGCTCAATGGGTACCACGGTGCACCCAAGGAGTCTGTCTCGCACTTCCTGAGAAGGCTGGAGCACGTTTACTTCATGATGTCTGAACCGCTCACTCTCGAAAACTACAAGTCACAGTTTGACGAGGAGGACCCTTTCGACGCTGAAGACATGGAGGAGCTGAGCGACTCCGAAACCTTCGATTTCGAGTCCATGCCACTTCCTCGGGTGGTTGGACAGGTTGGTGATGAAGAGGAAGGTGGCCCTCAAAGATATAGCACGTCCCTTGCTGGTTTGAAGCGTGTGTTTCGGGGCGAACCAGTCGACGACCAATCGTCTGATGACGGGGAGGAAGAGAGAGACTATGATCACGAACCTTGTGACAGGATCCCTGTGGACCATGACACCTGGAAAAATGACAGACTCTACTTCTTCGGCAAGCATCACCGGTTCACGTCGGAGGATGTCTGGGGACACAACGTCGTCTGGCACCCGAGGATATTCCAACCTGCTGTGAGGAATGGAATATGGGTCTTGGCAATAAAGGAGGACGATGGCAAGTGGAGTGGATTGAAGAGACTGGGAGTGGCTGCATTTAAGAGAAAGGCAAGAACTGCTCTGGTGGAGCATTTGAGTCTCATGAACCCCGGGAGGAACGATCAGGACGTCGATGCGTATGCAGAACAAAAGTTACATGAGTTGTACGCCAACAACATGTTGCAGTTTTGAGCGCCTTTCTACACACTCGAAACGGCATCGTCTCGTGGCATTGACTGGCGCATGCCGCAACCTCCGCCGGCTGGTCAGCATCCGGGAGGGGGTGGTGGAGGAGACGAAGGAGACGGCGGAGGTGGCGGAGGGGACGGCTCACAGTTTGTCGGAAAGGGGACGGGCGAGACATCGTCGGTTGAGAAGGCGTTCGGCGGAAAGGGGTCGGGCGGAAAGGGGTCGGGCGGAAAGTGTAGAACGTCCGGGAGTCCCCAGTATATGGAAACTGACCCCCACTGCGTAGGGAGTCGAGATCCCGACATGCGAGACGAGGCCACCATGACGTCTGATCAAGTGCGAGTAGATTCGCACTTGTCTTCAAGGAGTTTGTTTCCCGTTGCCCAGGAGAGTCCATCCCGCCGTGCGCAGCAGAGGTCTCCTTTGCTCAACACCTTACTCCTGAAAGAGGGCGCGTCTTCGTTTTGCCTGGAGGGCGGAATGCCTGCATTGCGAAGGAGCGAAGGTGTGACCTCCGATTCCCTCGGCTCGGGTGACCACCACAAACTCCGAATACATTCGGATTTGCTGACGTCGCCCTCCCCCATAAGTGCTCCTCACGTAACAGTTCCGCGGGGCCAAGAAAATGTGACGTCCTGGCCCCCGCATCTTCAGTTGGACACAGGGTTGCCCTGCTCGCCTCTTTTCTCATGTGTTGAGACTCGAGACTGGCGGTCTCGCGACGTGCTGGAGGGGCCCGCTCGAAGAGTGTTGGAGACCGGGGGGTAGCGAGAACGAACGTCACACTCCTGGGGAAGACGAACGCTCTTCGGGAGCGTGTGTTGTACATCGGGAAGAAGGAACTCAATGCTGGCAGTCTCCCGAAGTGTTGGAGACCGGGGGCAGCGAGTGTGAACGTCATGCTTCGGAGGGTGCGTCCGTGGACACTGACAACGAGAGTGCAGGAGCTCCGGGGGAAACACATGCTGTACAGCGAGGAGAGGACACTCGACACAGGCCGGCTCGTGAAGACGTGAAGTGGCTCCACGCACGAGCGCAAGTGATCGGGACGTCCGAAGAGGTTCGGTACAGTCGCTTGGCTGTGGCCACGACGCGAGAGCGTGTCGTTAAGGGAGGTCAGTGGACGTCCGTGCAAGCTCCCGTTCTTGGCGACGATGAAGACGAAGAAGAACCCGCGGTGGAAGCTCGGGTTCATGGCGATGAGAAAGGCAGAGAACCCGTGGTGGAAGGCTGTGAGGTGACTGCCGATATCCGGACGGATTTACAACGGAAAGATGGTGATTCTTCGCCCACCCATTGCGGTGAAGAACAGGGTGGTCGAGCGTTTGTTGTGAGCTACGCTCGGGGAATGGTGCTTCGTGAAGCCATAGAGTTGGGTGACGACTCCGCAGCCACCGAGCTGGTTAGCGACTCAGGCGTGGCTGAGATGCAGAACGTCGAATCCTCCGTGGAAGGCGGTGAGGTGGCCGTCAGCATCAAGATGGATCCAGAGCGGAAAAATCATGATTCTCCGTTCACCCCTTGCGGTGCCGAACAGGGTGATCGAGCATCTGTCCTCAGTACCGGTTGGGAAATGGTGCTTCATGCACCCATCGACTTGCCAAGCGACTCAGCTGCCACCGAGCTGGTTAGCGACACAGCCGTGACCGAGGTCCAGAACCTCGAATCGTCCGTGGACGTTGGCGCAGTGGCGCGACAGGAGGGCGAGTTCCCTCAAAGGGCTCCCGAGCACGGTAAGATTGTGAATAGGACCCCTCGCATATCTGTTACTGGCCAGCTCTCTGTTCGTCCAAATTGATGTCATGGCCTAATGAACCTGTTACCACTAGTTAAAAAAAAGTTTATGGGTTGTGGGTTGTTTTCTATGTTCTACAGGTGTGAGGTTGTTAATGTCCCTGCCCATGAAGCTTTTAAAAGTCGTGCGCGAGAAACGTCTTTCAGGGAGGTCATTGGCCGCTTCACCGAAGAAGTCGTCAAGTGTAGGGTTGTTTAAAACGGTCCAGATGCCTCGCCTTTCCCAGAGAGCTGTCAGGGTTTTGAAGGCTTGTGTAATAGATAAGGAAGAAGGTCTGCGGAAACATTTGGCTGCGTCTATTGAGAGCGTTACTGCTTTGTCTGACAGGTCTAATGACGATGGCAAATGGGGTGTCTTGAAAGACCCGTGTCGTAAGTACATCGCGAAGGACACATTCAACAAACGGGGATACAACTTTTTTGGGAAAAGGGTAGACAGTTCTTAGGCATTCCACCACGGGGTTTGTGCTCACTCCTCACACTTGTTCGTGGGTGTTTGTGCATCTGGGGCTACATCATGTTTTCGCGTTCCGTTGCCTACTGAGAAGCTTAGCTCTACGGACTTAAGAATGTTGCGGAACGTCTGTGGAAATTACAGCAACGCCCACGAGGTGGTGTGCTCGGTTCGCAAAGGGGTCAGTTCAATTCCGTTGAGCAGAAAAAATCTTCAAACTCTTGTTCAGGGGGAATGGCTTTTCGACGAGGTGGTGGAGTCGTACTTGGCCTTGCTTGCCAACGCTGCGTTGCCTGGGGGTCCCTCTCTTCACATTTTCAGTCAATTTTTCTATACCAAGCTCGTCCGTGGCGGCTATCGACATGATAGGGTTGCGAGATGGACAAAAAATGTGGATATTTTCTCGCACGAGATGGTCTTGATTCCTGTCCATAAACATGGAGTGCATTGGACCCTGTTGTGTCTCCGAGAACAATGACCGGAGTACTACGACTCCCTCGTACAAGACGATGACGTTTTTTCTTCCGATGTGATTGCGAACTTCACGCAATACCTCCGTGACGAAGCACTTTGTCATTATGGTCCAAAAACGAAAGTGGATCTCCAGGAGCCCAAGGTGATTGTTCGTGGTGTCCCTCAACAATCGGACGGGTCGAGCTGCGGTGTTTTCATGCTCGCCTTCGCTTCATTTCTTGCACGCGGCTGTCCGCCACCATTTCCGATAGCCCAAAACAACATTCCAAACATTCGACTGAGGATTGCGGTGGACATACACCAAGGTGCTGAATGATACCACTGTTATAAAAACACGCGTAGTTTTTTTTTCGAAATGCCATAGCAGAAGTGTGAATTTATTCCCACTTCATCTACAGGTCGGCCGGTTCGAGCTGTGCTGTTGTTTTGATGAGGTACCGGATTGCAGTGGACGTTTTGGTCAAGTAAACGCTTAGGTGTCGATGTGAATATCCCAGCCTCATGCTGTAGCAATTTTTTAAGGGTTTTTTATTTCGACGAACCTGTCATCTTTACTCGTACGCCTTTCGGCAGCGCCGTGCTTCCTTTGTTTGTTTTTGGGTTGTTCTCATTGCTTGCCGCGCAACTTCAGCTAGAGGGTAGCAGCGGACGCTTACGTGAAGTAGAAGCTCAGATGCCGATGTAAATATCCCTGCCAAGTGGTGCGGTTCCTTTTAAGTAGACGCTTACATATCGGATGTGAATATCCCAACTTCGTGCTCCTTTTGTTTATTTTCGGGTTGTTCTCCTTATGTCCTCTCAGACAGGGGCAGCACCGTGCTGCGTTTGTACGTTTCGAGGTTGTGCTTCTCTTTTACTCATGTAAAAGATATCGACGATTTATTCTTGGTCGCCAAATTGTTTCGTGATTATCTCTTTCGTTCGCGAGACTTTGTGGTGTGAAAGCCCCTCTCCCCCGCCCCACCCCGACCAACCAGCTTTCATATGTTTTGGCTTGCCCTTGTTCTGCGTGTGCCGCACCGTTTTACGGTTCACCCCCTCGACTTGGCTCGATTGAATGTTGTCTGTTGGTTCCTTATGACAGTTGCGAACTTGTTCTCTATTCGGAAACCAATTGTCGCCAGAATGTATGTGTGCTTGAAGTTGTTTTACGGATTCAGCAGTGCACTGAATGATCACCAATTTCGTTATTCCCGAAATACATCTCGTGCTCTCCATGGAATGCTGGGTGTTGTTTTCGTATGAGAAATGCGAACATATTCACAGTTCGGATGTCGTACATTTGTGATTGAACTGTTGGTTTCATATGAGAAATGAGAATATATTCGCACTTTGACTCCATGTACTTTGTGATATTTGGAAAGCCTCCGTGCACTTTGCAATGTGGGATTGTATGATATTTTGCGTTCAATGACTTTTTGAAACGTCTCTGTGTGCTTTGCAATTTGCCCTCGATTGAATTTTCTGCATTGAATGGTTTCCGGTACCTGTTCGTGTGCTGTGAGACTTCATCTTTCGAAAAACACTAGGCAACTTGAGATGTTTTCACGTCGATGTTTGCGATGTCTCTGTGTGCTTTGCAATTTGACTTGTGCTTGAAGTTGTTTAACGGATTCAGCGGTGCACTAAATGATTGCCAATTTTGTTATCCCCGGAATACTTCTCGTGCTCTCCACTGGATATTGGCTCTTGTTTCCATATAAGAAATGCGAACATATTCGCACTTTGGATGCCGTGCATTTGTGATTGACCTGTTGGTTTCATATGGGAAATGAGAACATATTCGCACTTTGGCTCCGTGTACTTTGTGATTTTTGGAAAGCCTCCGTGCACTTTGCAATGTGGGATTGTCTGATATTTTGCGTTCAATGATTTTTTGAAACGTCTTTGTGTGCTTCGCAATTTGCCCTTAAATGAATTTTCTGCATTGAATGGTTTCTGGAAACTGTTCGTGTTCTGTGAGACTTCACCTTTGGAAAAACAGTACGCAACTTCAGATGCTTTCACCCCGACGTTTGCGATGTCTCTGTGTGCTTTGCAATTCGACTTGAGATGTTTTCATCTCGATGTTTGCGATGACAAGAGATACTTGTAAGAATGAATATGAATCTTCTACACAGAAAGATTTGATGGCGTTTTCAACCTGTGATATACAAATGACAAGCCAATTTCCATATTAAATAGTCGCGCTGATGGACTGCGCAACTGCTTCTCCATCAAAGTGCGAGTTCAATCGCACTTCTGGTGTGAGCCCTGAGCAATTCCCTCACACTTTGCTTCACGTCGAGGAGGGGATTGAACGCACCGCCGCTAAGCACCTGCACATCACGAAACAAGAGCACGTCCCAATTGGAACATCGTCGGGTCCTCACCTCATCGACTCTCAAGATGACTACAGCCAACAGCGGTAGGATGGCATGTCCGCTTATCCGATGTGGATCTCATGGTGGAGTGCGAAACTCTGCTCTCGAAGATCCAAACCGGGTAGAAGGTCCTGCAAGCAACCGTTGCTTGCTTGTAAGGCATCTTATGATGTGTCGATATAACTGACATCCAGAACTGCTTGGTGAGCATTTAGTGCTACGCCAATAAGTTTCAAACACGGCAGCAAAGTCCCCTAAGAGTGTTCTTTGCTGGGTCCTCACCACATCGACTCTCTAGATGACTACAGCCAACAGCGGTAGGATGGCAGGTCCGCGTACCCGATGTGGATCTCACGGTGGAGTGCGAAACTTTGCTCTCAAAGATCCGCACCAGGTAGAAGGTCCTGCAAGCAGTCAGTGCTTGCTTGTAAGGCATCTTATGATGTGTCGATATGAAAGACGTCCATAATTGCTTAGTGAGCATCTAGTGCTACACCAATATGTTCCAAACACGGCACCAAAGTCCCCTGACAGTGTTCTTTGCCGGGTCCTCACCTCGTCAACTCCCTCAAGATGTCTACAACTGCCAGCGATAGGATGGAAGGTCCACCCATCCGATGTGGATCTCACGGTGGAGTGCGAAACTCTGCTCTCAAAGATCCACACCGGGTAGAAGGTCCTGCAAGCAGCCGCTGCTTGCTTGTTAGGCATCTTATGATTTGTCGACATAACCGACATCCATAACTGCTTGGTAAGTATCTAGTTTTACGTCAATAAGTTCCAAAAACACGACAGCAAAGTCCACTGAGAGTTTTCTTCGTCGGGTCCTCACCTCATCGACTCCCTCAAGATGACTACATCTAACAGCGGTAGGATGGCAAGTCCACCTATCTGACGTGGATCTCACGGTGGAGTGCGAAACTCTGCTCTCAAAGATCCATACCGGGTAGAAGGTCCTGGAAGCAGCCGCTGCTTGCTTGTAAGGCATCTTATGATGTGTCCATATAACCGACATCCAGAACTGCTTGGTGAGCATCTAGTGCTACGCGAATATGTTCTGAACACGACCGCAAGGTCCCCTAAGAATGCTTTTGGCACTGGAATCCTCTGACCGCCGACTGTTTGGCACTTTGTGAAGGTTGACACTTTTTGAAGGTGGTCTACCACTTTTTAAAGGTGGTCAAGCACCAAACAGATCACGACTTGACATCGACCTCGATAACTGCGAATTGACTCGCTGTTCAACTTGACTCTCTCTCTCTCTCTGTCTCTCTCTCTCTCTCTCTCTCTCTCTCTCTCTCTCTCTCTCTCTCTCTCTCTCTCTCTCTTTCTCTCTCTCTCTCTC